ACATAAGTGTGGGTCAGGTTTTAGTGGAGAAAGATGGCTTTGAAAAATGTCTTAAAATATCATTTTATCAAGATTCAGACACTGTGATATTCTGAGATGGAGTGACTCAAGCAAGACAAGCTGTATCATAATCTATCTCAGATTTACTATAACGAAGATGCTCGCTTTAAACATCAAAATCCCGAACTAAAAAAAAACCTCATTTATGAAATCATTTCAACATTTCACAGTAAAGCTTTCGTTATTTCTTTGAAAATTGTTATATAAATCACATTAAAAGCTTGATATTTTCCTAAAAATCACTCACCCCGAGTGTTAATTCATCGGGTAATTCTCGACCGGCAAAAATGATTTTAATTCCAGCAGTTTTGACATTTTTCTTGCGAGCAATTTCGCGTTTTAGTTGAGCGATTGTCCAGGATGGTTGAAAACGAAGGTTAAATGATTTGCCGTTGAAGTTTACGGTCACGTCGTGCGACATATTTCGCTAGAAAAGCTCGTGTATTCCCTTGCAATTAAGATAAAATAATTCAAAATATTTTGCTTCAAAACGAAAGTTTGGAAAAGAAATGTTTGAAAATTGAAAGTTTAAAACGACGGTTGCTTCCACTTACCAAAACAAACTTCCTCCCTGACAGTTTTCTGATCTCTTGAAACACTGGAATGTTTAGCGTTTTCTATGTTGGCAATCAATATAATTCCAGAGATTAGGTTAGGATTAGGGTTAAATTTAGGATAAGTTTAACCGTATTAAACTATAAACCTAAAACATAATCTTAACCCAATTCCTAACATAATCCCAAAGATTGAATTCGTGTATTTAGGATTTAGTGAACATGGAGTTTTATATTAAAAACTATCGCAGCATCGTCAGCACTTTTGAAAGTGTAAATTCGCATTTTAATAGAACAAGTTAAAGCTTTTAGAGTCGACTTTAATTACTGTAAAATAACATTTCTCAAAAATCTACTGAAAATATCAGAAAATGTTTAATTCGGCTCCAGCTCTCTCCGTCAACTCGTAACATTTCCAAATTCATTTTTGGAAACACCGCAGCAAATTCCAGGAATTCCTGGGTCCTGACAGGAAAAGACGCGTCTTATGCAAATACTTTATAAGGAAGAGATATTTGTCTTCAGTTTCACTAAACTGATCATTTTGGAGAAGATTTCGAGAAAATACAAGCACAGACTTCTTCAAGAACGAACATTGTATCCATATTCAGTCTATACAGCGAGGTTTATACTACAGAGCAACAAACAACACAAAACTTGCTTTATTATTACGACACAAGAACGACGTGAAATATGGCTTCATTAATACAAGGCTACGATGAAGAACGCTTCGAGACCAAAGTCAGTCAAAATTTCCTTTGTCAAATTTGCTTCAACGTCTTGAAAGAGCCTGTCCTGTGTCCGACAAACCAACATTGTTTTTGCCGTTGTTGTATTTCGAAACATCTGGAAAATTCTCAAACATGTCCAACGTGTGCTGATGAACTGACCCTAGAGACTTTGGCCGAACCACCGCGAATGGTAAAAGATCTTATAAATGAGTTAAAAATTCGTTGCGTTTACATCGACAGAGGTTGTCAAGAAGTTGTAGAAGTACAGCATCTTGACCGCCATGAAGATACATGTGGATATACACCAGCCGTTTGTACAAACCAAGGCTGTGGTTTAATTGTCAACAAGCGTGATCTTATTCACCATGAAAGTGAAGTCTGTGAATTCCGAAAGTTGAAGTGTCACTCGTGCGGAGAAATGACCAAAACTTTGGCAGATATAGAGGAAAGAATGGCGAAGAATAATCTAACAATTGAAACTAAAATAACAAATTTAGAGAGAAATATGGCAAAAAATACCGCAGATTTAAAAGCAGATATGGAAGGAAAACACGAAGGGGTTAACAACAAAGTCGATGGATTGAAAACAGCTTTGGTCAGAGCTTTTGATGAAATGAAGGACGTTCTTATCATGATGGAGGGCAAGAAAGAAGAAAACACAAGAAAAGTAATAAATAGACCAAGTGGTGATAAGCAAAATATAATTGTTGCTGGAGGTGTAGGAACTAACTCTGTAGAGATGTTTAACTGGCGTCAAAGAACATGGTCGCCATTACAATCAATGTTAAAGAAACGTTTTGCAGCGACTTCATTTATTTATAACAATCATATGACTATAGCTGGGGGTCGCTGTGGTTGGTCTGACATTGTTGATGATATGATTAGAATGAATATTGACCCAAACCCTGATCTCTCAACACACTGGAGTGACTGTCCTGTTAAACTACCTGATAAGTTGAGATTCCACAGCACTGTGCTGTATAATGATGAGTTGATAATCTCCGGAGGTGATAATAGAAACGGTTCATCTGACTTGATCAGATCAGTCCAGCTTGTTCCTCCCTATACTGTGAAGACCTTATCAAGAATGCCAGAACCAAGACAATGTCACTGCATGGAAATATTTGATGATAATTTGTTGATGGTTGGTGGAAAAACAACTCGTAGATGCAAAGACAACCTCAGCAGTGTCGTACTGTATGATATAAAGAAGAATGAGCTGAAACAGTTGTCACCACTGCCGTATGAAGTGAGTCTCATGGCAACTGTGAGATGGGGAGACAACATTGTTGTTATTGGTGGCGTTGACAAACATGGCAATGAATTAGATACAGTTATCATTTACAATGTCAAGACAGAACAAAGTCACATGCTGCCATCAATGAGATGTGAGAGGAAGGGATGTACTGCAGTTGTTATTGAAAAGAAAATTGTAGTCCTGGGAGGGAGGGGTGAGGGAGGAAAGCTGAAGTCAGTTGAAGGTTTCAACTTTGAAAGGTATTCTTGGGAAGAACTTCCAGAAATGTCTGAAGCAAGATCGTTGCACACTGCTGTTGCTGTGTGAACAATATGTAAGGTATTAAGTGAAAACTCCTAACATATTATGAACAATTGAAATGAACTATAAGATTTTCACAAAATTATAGAAATAGATTGTAGCATTCTAAGTTGATTGTCAGACATATACTGATTTGTATTTTTGTGATTGAATTTAAATTGAGTCAGTTCTTAGAACAATAATAAATCTTTGAAATAGATATTTTCATTGCGGAAGGTTTAAAATGAAACACCAAAAAAAACATTTGAAATAATATTTTCTGCACCCCCTCCACCTAGGTTTTTTCATCCTCCTTCCCACCCTATCGCACATAGGTTTTTCAGCCAAAACCCCACCCCTCCCCACCTGGGTTCTTGTGCCCAGGTCCCCCAGACCAAGAATCCTAACTGATCCTCTGCCTCAAGAAATAGCTCAGTTACCTATTTTAAATATCAGCCTGTCTGTAAATGATGTCTGTGTCTGTCAGACTGCCACAAACCAAGTCATATTTTAAAATTTAACAATTAACAAGATTTGGAGAGATAATTTTACTCTTTATTAAAACAAAACCCTGATTAACTAATATAAATTGGTTTGTCAAATAAAATAAAATTTTTGTTTCAAGTTTGCTCACAGATTGTTTTGTAATTTCTTGTTTTCCATCGCGTCCTTGAAGGCTTTTAGTACAAGATTTACATTATCTTTTGTGCTGTTCAACCCCATCAGACCAACACGCCATATCTGAAAAATTTCACCACAAAAAAGGTTTTTCAGAGGGAAAAAAATTTACGATTATGCAGCGAATATCTGCGAATATTGCGAAGAAAATTGTGAATATGAATACCATTCCAGCAGATCTTCCAAGACCACCTGAAATATCCACTTTATATCTAAAAAAGAAAGCGATTATTCAATTTAACTCCCTTTTACTGTTCCTCATGAATCACCCCCTGCAAGTATTTAAAATGAGGCAGTTGGCAGGGGGTACTTCCCAAGATTCATCACTCAGCAAGTACCGTAATAAGCAATTACCCCCCTGCCATATTGAAAATAGCGCTGTTGGCAGGGGGTGATCCTCCATTTACCGTACTTGCTGAGTGACGGAACCACTTATGCAAAAAACTATGGAGTTGTTCTTCTGATAGGTATTCTGTGCCTACACTTTCTTTTATTTTCATTGTATTTTTATCTTTATTTGAAAGCACGACATGAAATTACCATTTAGACCTAACCCGGGGGGTGACGGAAGTCAATGACCATATTCATTACTCATTTTATTTCGAGAAATGCATTAAAGTTTAAAATTTAGTTTAGCCGAATTCATATTAGAGGCGGGAAACTCGTCTTACAAGGTGAAGGAAAACAGGAAACTCATCTTACAGGGGAAACTCCTCTTGGAAACTCATCTTAGACGGGAAACTCGTCTGATGTGAATCAGGCCACAGACGGGTTTCTCGTCAGAATTTTCCCGCCTAACTTTCCCGTCTAAACAAACGGTTAATTTGAACGGGAATCCCTTCTGGACGAGAAACTCGTCTTAAATTCGCATTTAGACGGATAAATCAGACGAGTTTCTGAAATATCAACACGGTCAAGGACGGAACAAGGGTAAAACCCGCCGCACAAGAGAGCTATCAGCTGAGCTAACGACCTCGCGAGGCAGTTAACTCAGCCTGAAAACTATCCGCACGATAGAAACTTGCCTCCCGAGGCGAATTCCTCACGAAAAACTATCCGCACACGAGAGTAACTTGCTGAGCTAACAGCCTCGCGAGGTCTTTACCTCAGCTACCAGCTCTCGTGTGAGGCGCGCTTAACTGAGAAAATAAAAAAATTATTATCGTAATAATCACGATACCCTTTTTAGCATTACCCGACCCATCACACGTGTAAATTTTATCCATTCCAAGTCATATTAAGACGGTTTTTACAATCAACTTTCCTGTTTAAGATGAATTTCCCGTGCCTAATATGAATTTGGTTGTTAATGTGAGAGAGATGATGCCTTCGGCTTCTCCGCTTCCTTGAATATACAATCCATTGTTATATGGTTTGTTGTTGTTTGAATAAGAACGTGATTTTCGTCAGATCTTCGCAGCAAATGGTGTCATAACAGAACTGGTTTGCAAATTATGTCGACACCATTGTGTGTACGAGAACCTCTGTATAATGATAAATTCACGTTAATTTAATTGTTTTGTAAGATTATAAGAATATTATCGATTCGCTGTGTTGTTACAAGGTTACATCTGGTCTTACCTTGGTGTTCCGAAATCACCACAACCCTGACTGTCACATTCACGGATTAAATTTCTACCATTTGAGCTGCAAAGCTGACCAAGTTTAAAACATTCAACCGCATTATCTAGAAAAATAAATCCAGAAAAATACGATGAAGAATAACGAAGTGATACTTGAGAATTCTACGAACAAAGATATATATCACATTATGTATTCCAGTACCTGCAAAGACTAGGAATATAACAACGATCTTAACAACTCCAAACATCTTTGATCTGCTAAAATTTAATCTTCTAGCTTGAAATGGCTTTTCATCGATATAATGACCGCACTTATACAGGATGTTTAAAAAAACACAACACTTAATATTTATGAATATTTTGATACGCTATACGATCTTTTGTGATCAAAACGAAAGTGAATTTCATGAACACTTTGAAGTTGCGTTTTTCTTATTCACCACAGCTGTAGATCATCCACAAGATATCCTGAACCATTTGTGTGTTGATAAAAACTCATTTAGATTGGAATATTATTGCACCGCAAAAATATTCAACTTGACATTAGACAAAGTAAAATACTAAAGTAGGTCACATCTGGGTGCATTGCAAGCTAATGGGTTAACAAGAGACACTGGCAGATAGTTTTGTTAACTTATTAACTGACAGTACTCTTCCACTGATGAGTAAAATCATCTGACACGATTAGGAAAAATCTAGGTTCATAATGCTGGACAATGCAGTTTCACCCATTCACTTAGCATACATAGCTCAGTGCGTTGTACTCCAGTCCCAGTTCTCTCTCTCAGCTCGCGATATTTTTTAATTTATTTGTCGAAACACCGCAGCAAATTCCAAGAATTCCTGACAGCAAATGATGCATTTTATGCAAACACTTTATAAGGAAGAGATATTTGTCTTCATAAACTGATCATTTTGGAGAAGATTTCGAGAAAATACAAACACAGACTTCTTCAAGAACGAACACTGTATCTATATTCAGTCTATACAGCGAGGTTTATACTACAGAGCGACAAACAACACAGAACTTGCTTTATTATTACGACACAAGAACAACCTGGAAGATATCTCAGAAAAACTTGAAGCGGTTAACAACAAGGTTATCCTAACTGAATCTTGATATCCACACCGTCTAGCCATATGGTCTGTCTATAAACTATTTGTTACTAGGAGTTACTATCGCAAGTGAAATGCTGCCTGGGAGAAAGATTTTGTGCGCATACCTGCTCAACAGTTGTATTTGCGCGTTACGAGATAGGATGTAAGCTTATCATTCTGCCAAAAAACGTATGCTAGTCAATAGTGTTTAATTTGTTTTTGAATATAAAATCAAATTGCGATTGCTATAATATAAACAGAAGCGCCGAATCGAAGATAGGAACGGTATTGAACTGACGGCTATGGCACATAATTATAGTCATAAAGTGGATTCATCCATTCTTTATAAAAAATATAATTAACATAATATTCACAGTTACACGTTTTTCTATTTGAATATTATTTAACAAAGAAGTATTATTTTATATAAATAAATAAGGAGAAGACAATCACATAACATCACATCACATTACATCACATTAGTTAACATAATTGATTATCACATACATGACATAAAAAAATTAAGAATTCTATGTACATGGTGACACTGTATGTATGCATTTTGTCAAAAAAAATTATTTCAGGTTAAGTTTATCTTATCACATTTTGTATACTACTGAGATGATACCATAGTTCATTTGGATTAATTGATAAGTTGTTCGTTATTCCTCTTTCAGAAAGCTACCATTATCGCATTCCACGTATGAAAATATCTTAAATAATAACATATTTAAATGTTTGAGAATTAGCTTTTTTCTTTGAGGAATGTTTTGGAAGTAAAACACTGTCAATATTACATCAATACATGACGTTATTTGAAACTGCCAGATCCATGAGACTGAATGTTAATTTGGTTCATGTGTCCACAGGTAGCACACGACCGACAGGTAACAATATACCATACACGTTTCTTCACTATAAGAGCACAAAATAATGTCTCATCACTTGCCTCGATGAATCATTTTCAAAAAATGAGTGCACATAACAGTATTGCAGGTTCATTGTGTTTTCATTATTGGTTGTAATGCAATTGTTTGAAGCCATTAAATTCCAATGATTTTGGCAAAAATCAGAGTCCAGTGGCAGTAATGTCATCAGTTTCTGATCAGTTAATTCCTTTGTATATTTACCCAGAAAGAGGGAATCTACAAAACAAAAGAGCATAACCTTAAGAATACAATTAGCCTAAAATATGTCGTAAAAGGGGAGTGAGTACAAAAACAGAAAAACTTACCAAAAATGTGCTGATGATAATATTTTCACACATACAGTGACAATAACATAGAGAAACATACAATAACATAGAGAAACATACAATAAACATTAAGGAATAAAGATAATAATTTATACAGAATAAAGGTTATGGGATCTACATCACAATCCCATGTCTAATTTCAAACCTATAATATGGTTTGTCAATTTAAAAGGCACTGCTGTTGGTTGTCTGTGCTAAACGATCTAGGCGGTTTTCTTCCTCTAGCCTGTATTGTAAATTAGCTGATGATTTCAAGCTTGTTAATCGCTCATATGTCATGGGTTCAATGACGCAAGAAGAAAGAGACTTCACTCTGCTTATGGCCACGTATGAAACTCCAGCAGTTCTTTCTGTTTTGCCAATATCTATCCAAGCCTTTGGAAGAGTTAATCCTTGGCTCTTGTGTATTGTTAGAGCCCAGGCGAGTCTTAGAGGCAACTGTTGCCGTTCAAGAAAACCTGTTTCTGACTGTGATGACTGTGATTGGACAAATTGGAATGCAAGATGGTTTTCCACATTAAAAAAAGGACCTCTATAGTTCTCAAACTCAATAATGACTGCAATAGGTAGGTCAGGTGGTTGATGGTTGTTCTGATAGACAATATCAACAACTGTTCCAGTAGCTCCATTACAGAGGCCAACATTTGACCACAAATTCATGGTTAACATGACCCTAGCACCCTTTGCTAGAAATACAACAGGCTCAACCCAGACATATCATCTGAGGACATTTTTTGGCAATGCAGAGAATGGCGAGCATTAATATGAGCAATTGGATGCTCAAGTTTTGTTAGTTGTTCATTATTGTAATTTGCAACTTGTTCATTACTATAGAAGAGTCTAGTAGCATCTTCAAAGTCGCATAAATTAGTGATTGATGGTTGACGTGTCAGAAGTAATTTCCAGTCATGCTGTTGGTCCCCTTTGCGAAGTCGTAACAATAAATCTCTGAACTGTATTTGTTCAGATGTCATACCTTGCACACGTTGATTTACAGTGAGCTTAACAACTTTGTCAAAGATATGATATGCTTGGAAACCTTGTTCACCAACAGCATTTGATGGTTTGGTATGGTAAAGAGGCTTATCTGCCACTGGTGGTAATTGACCTGGATCACCAGTTAAAATTAATGATTTCCCACCAAATACTTTGTCATTATGACCAGTTGCTTGTTTGCAACGCTTATCTAACCAACCAAAAGTAACTTGGCCAAGCATGGAGTATTCATCAATAATGATGTATTCAATGTTATTAACACTCTCTTGTAACCTACACAAGCTTTGTCCAGTTAGGTCTTTGTTACCTCGAGACCCTACAGGTAACTTTAACAGAGAGTGCACAGTTACACCTTTAACGTTATAGGCTGCTTTACCTGTGGTAGCAGTAATAGCACATTTACTTTGCAGAAGATTTTTTATAGCATTAATTAGATAACTTTTACCCGTCCCGGCAACACCATTTATAATGAGACATAATGGCTCTTTGTCAGAAGATGTATCATCAAAATGGGATTTAACAATGTCAAAAGCAAGTTTTTGCATTTCACTAAAACTGTTTACGTCAACAACATCATATTGCTCATCAATAATATATTCTTCTTTGTTAGTTTTTATCCATGTTGGCATTTCATGGATTTGTTGTTCAGAATAATTGCCCCTATCAAGGTGCCAGTCATATGTTGACGCTGGTGTTTGTTCAGAGGTATCAAAAGGAGTGTGAAGGTCTGACAATATCATCCACTCTTCTCGAGTTACCTCCTGTTCTTCAGAAGGTTCATCTTCTGATTCTTGACTTTGGATGACAGCTTGTAATTTGTCAAACCAGTCTGGGACATTGGATTGTCCACAAGGTGTCTGCAAGAATTCTTGCCAAGAGTTGATTAGAACCTCGTCAGTTGGTTCTTGGTCACCCCACGCATTGTTTTGGGTTGTTCTCCAGGGTTTATATCTTAAAAGTTGATACTTACAATATAGTCCAAAATTTGGACCTTTGGGATTAGGAGAATAAGTTGGGAAAATTCTTGGTATAACATTCTCTGGCAATTTTGTCAGTTCATTGTGAACAACTTTATATGTTGTGGCAAATTGAACAAAATTCATATTCATGATATTTTGTGAGCTGTCATATTGCTCGCGATTAGCGTACACATCAAGAAGTGAAGTAATCAGTGCATGACTCACCTTCTTCAAGAGTTTGTGACGTACTTTACGTGAACCATTTAAACTAACTGGTATCACATTAAATGATGAGCTATGAAGTTTTAAAGACAACAAATGATGCATTGTCTCTGAGCAGCATAATCTCGTTCACCAAGGGATCTCATAACTACCTTCTTAATAGCTCTGCGAGGGTCAGTATTGCTGTCAACATTTTGCATAATAGAGTTAAATGCTTGTTTTAATAAAGGTGACCTTGGTTCACCTTTGGCTGCATATTTTGTGAGATATTCAACACAGGCATAGTGATCAATAACAACTTGAATATCACAGTTAGCTCTCCACCCCTGGAGTTGGAGTTGCTGATGGTTATTTAACCTTGAGTCATTTCGCTTAGTCACAATTTTAGCTCTATAATGTTCTTTATCACCTGAGGTGTGGATCTTCTCAAATTCTAACTTTGTTGCTGACAATTGTCAAATGGAAAATGAAATCTACATTTCAATTCAGTCTCATTTGACTTTTTTCTTAGACAATAGCTAGTACTACAACGAGTGTGTCGTTGAACCATATTTAATAGATCTACATAATCTGATTGTTTTTCATGTTCAGGAATTTCATTATGGGGTTTCTGACATGGATGAGTCTCAGGTCGTACCCACATATCTTCGTCTGGTGGGTTTGGATTGACAGTTGATAATAGCCAATCAACATACCGACATACTGTTTCAGCTGCTCTCTGACCAGCATCAATATCATTGTCTAGTTCGGTTATATCAGAACAAATGTTCTCATCTTTAAATTTTTGTGCTAAGTAACCTTTCAAAGCAGTCTCAGTAAGTTTACACAAACCTGGATCATTATTTAGTTTAGCAGTACCATGACAATGGATACTGCCTCTACCTTGGTACTCATATCGAAACCAGTGCCATTTTGCACCAAGTGTTTCATAAAGCCAGTGTTTAACAAAGCTTTCTAATCTTTGAGTGAAAAACCAATCCACAATATGGGGATTGTTAATTACATTTTGTCGTCTGACTTCATTGGTATTATTACCAGTTCCACAACCATTATCAGCACTAAATAGAGTGTGTAACTCAGGCCAATGCATATCCGCAGAGGAAAAAGTGAAAAATAATGTTGGTGCTCCAACACTAGTTATAATAGCTTTGAGTTCTTCTCTTACTTTGTTCCAGTAAGCATTAGTACCAGCAATATTCCCAACATATCTAGACACTTTAGACATAAACAGATTAGCATTGTTACTGGCAGCCATTTCCCTTAATTCATCAATAGTGAGATGTGCCTCACCTGGGTTTTGCTTTAGGAATATTCCACTTTGCTGTAAGATTCGTTTTCTTTGAATCATATTAAAAGCCCAGTAACAGAATCTGGGATGGTTAGCAAAACGGTAGACCCATTTGCCATCTATAACTTCAGCAAATTTCAACAGGTGTTTTATTCGCTCCTGAAGAGGGACATCCCGTAGAAGTCCTTGATTAGTAGGATCACCTTTTCCATCCGGAAATAATGTTGGGAATGACATTGTGGCCAAATGTGATACCTGATACTCATTCAATGGCTCATTTTCAACTGAGGGCCATTGCATTGGCTCATTTTCAGAAAGCTGATTTCTAACAGCTTCAATTTCTTGTTGTTGTTGTTCTCCAACAGGTAAAAAACTACTCATTTCAGTCACACCATTATATACCACATCCTCTGAGGGGTTATCAGTTGGAGGACCTACATCAGGAGTAGAATCATTTTCTGAGGTGATTTCATCATCAGTTTCAACAGTCATAAGATCTGGTGGTACACCATTTTCAGGCAATAAATTTAATGCACCTTCATTTATTGTTATTTCAGAATAGTGTGGATTGTTATTTATGAGCCAAATTAATGCATCATGAACTTTTTGTTTTCGTACTCTCACATCTTTGAATGTGTTGTCTCTACCTTTAACCTTGACAATAATCACAGCTAAGTCTTTGGGGTATCTTGGCAAAGATGTTACAAGTTCTGTGACATTCTGTGGCAAGTTAATACAATGCCCTGAATAACCTCGTTGACCACCAGGTTTGATATAAACTCTCATGATAGGCAAAGCACGAGCAATTAACATTTCCTCAACTTGAGTTAAACTTTGTAATTCATCTGGAACATGTGAAGGTATCATCAAGTTTTCACAAGAAAATTTTTTAGGCAATTTTTTATCTCTAGAGCATCGTGAACAGACATATGGTGACCTTGGTTTAGATTTCAGAGGCCATGCCTCCTGACAAACTGTACACTGACTGACAATGTATTGCATTGACTTATGAAACTTATTAATGTTAGCTTTTGCCCAACATTGCTCCTCAATATGACCACTACTACTGCTGGTGTCAAACAAATTTAAATAATCATGTTGACTTATTTTGGGTTGTGGCTGTGGCACTCCTTTTGTCTGCTTTTGTTTTTAGACAATCTGTCTTTATCAAGTCTTATTTGTCTTTCACTGTCAGTTTCTTCTGACCGTTTCCTTTTTTTAGACTCCCTTTCTTTTTGAAGTCTTATTTGTCTCTCAGTATCAGTTTCTTTTGATTGCTTTCTTTTTTTAGAATCAGTTGCTTTTTGAAGTCTGGTTTGTCTTTCACTATCAGTTTCTTCTAACTGTTTTCTTTTTTTATAGTCATTCACTTTTTGAAGCCTTAATTGTTTCTCACTATCAGTTTTTAAATATTTAGTGTTGCGATCACACATTTTACATGTATTGAATTGCACAGATACAATTTCAAATAAGTTGGCATGTAGATCAATTGACAGAGAGTACAAATATTGCTCTAACTCTAGAATATTGTAAAATTTCATGATAACAGCAGTGCCATTAGGATCGGGCATGCCACTAGAATCTCTAGCATGCGAGTCAATGAGATAAAAATTGTCTGTTTCCTTAATCAAGGCCATCATATAGCCTTCTAATATAATAATAGCATAACTTTCATTTAAAAATATATTTGACAGTGCAGTGTGTATATCATAGTAGTGACACTCAATTTCCTGGTTTGTTATAACAAGACCCTGAATTTCCATTCCATACTTTATGAAAACAATATCTTTTTCATTTTGCGCCTCAACAGGCTTCACCACATTAGGCAGATCATTAGTTTGCGCCTCAACGGGCTCTACCAAAATGGGCAGATCATTAGTTTGTGCCTCAATGGGCTCTACCACAATGGGCTCTACCACAATGGGCAGATCATTAGTTTGTGCCTCAATGGGCTCTACCACAATGGGCAGATCATTAGTTTGTGCCTGAACAGGCTCCACCACAATGGGCAGATCAATGTTTGTCACCCTCATAGGTGATGTTGTTGCTTTTTGCTGTGTAAGCAGCTTATTGCCATTTTTTTGTGTGTCAATGTCTACTTCAATTGTGTTATTTTGCCCCTCAAAGGGTTCCACAACAATGGGTAAGTCACTATTTGTCATTGGAGATGTAGTTTTTCCCTGTACAGGACATACCTCATACGAAAAACCATTTGACATGTTCGTGCAATATGAAACACTAACATATGTTGGTAAGTTTTCCACAGACAAAAAATCTGCACCTGACGGTAAGACAATAAAGCCCTTATTAAGAGCTTTTATGTACATTTTGTCCCCTTGTAATAAGACATTATTAAATGTAATCTTCGACCACGACGATAAGGGAAAATTTCGGGCCGTAAGAAGCGCCGATAAACTCATAAAAGCACATTGTTTACCTCTCGAGTTAATACTAAAAAGTTCATCACCTTGATGGACATCGGCAGAAAGGAAAAAAACCATACTTACCTTGTATTTTAGGGAAAATTTCGTTCAATAACTTGGCAGTTTGCATTCGCACTCCAGCACATCAATATTGCACCAGATTGCACACGCGTTACAATTTATAAGATATAATCCGTACGTCCCCCTTTAATTTTTTAAACATACGCACGCTTAATTATTCCCCCGGAACAAAAATCTTTCCGGACAGAAACGAATCCAAATTTCGACAATACATAAATGCGCGCAAAAGCCTGGGTCGAGTGAACTCTGGAGAAACATCAGTACGTCCAGAATAGTGTGCTGCCTCGCTGAGGCTCGGCAGCAATGATTGATTTTTCTTGGTATAAAGTATCATTTTCTTCGAACTCATTTCCATATAATGAAATAAGAAATTCCTACCAACAAAAACACAACCAATTGCAAGTTAGTATTTCAATAGGAGGTCAATGACCTTTTGTCACAAGACATGATAAAAATATCATATTTTCATACAAGCAAATTCCTGTCTACAAAACACTCTTGAAATATATTTGTCTTCGTAAATTTATCATTAATTTTTGGGAGACTTCGAGAAAATACAAACACAGACCATCGAACGAACATTGTATCTATATTCAGTCTATACAGCGAGGTTTATACTACAGAGCGACAAACAACACAGAACTTGCTTTATTATTACGACACAAGAACGACGTGGAATATGGCTTCATATATACAAGGCTACGATGAAGAAAGGTTTGTGGACAAAATCAATCAAAATTTTCATTGTCAGATTTGCTTCAACGTTTTGAAAGAGCCGGTTATGTGTTCGAGAAACCAGCATTCTTTTTGCCGTTGTTGTATTACGAAACATCTGGAAAATTCTCAAACATGTCCAACTTGTGCTGATGAACTGACCGTAGAGACTTTGGCCGAAGCACCACGAATGGTAAAAGATTTTTTAAATGAATCGAAAATTCGTTGCGTTTACATCGACAGAGGTTGTCAAGAAATTGTAGAAGTGCAGCATCTTGACCGCCATGAAGATACATGTGGATATACAGCAGCCGTTTGTACAAACCAAGGATGTGGTTTAATTGTCAACAAGACGCCTGCTCAAGGCGTTACTCCGCCTGCAGGTGAGGAAACACTACAGGTGACAAAATGAGGTGCTTTTTGTACTGTTGCCTGTCAAACTGTTGTCTGTCATACTTTTGGGATTTTTTGTTATACATTTTGTATTCATTAATATGAAATTATTTATTAATGCATCTTTATTCATTGATGTAACTTTATTTAATGATATAACTTCATTCAGTTGCTTAACTTTGTTTACTGATGTAACTTCATTAATTAATATAACTTTATTCATTGTAACTTCATTGTTGGCATTCAAAGGTAAGTTGGCATTTAAAGTTCAAATGTGACTTGGTATTCTAATGTGCATTCATGGAATTCACACTCAGGGACATTAATTTTTTTTGCAACTTCCTGCAAATGAGCACCAAAACCTGTAAATTAGAACAAAAAATAAAGTTTTATAAGTTTGGCAAATCAATCCTATAATAGGAACAGTTTTAATACCCCCTTTTAACCCTGTTATCGCTCGCTACTCTGGTTTATATAAATGATCACAAAGCCTGGTCAAATTGTAATCAGGACCTAATGTTTCGACAGTCCAGTCTACTGTCTTCATCAGGGGTGATCTAAAGCTGGAATCAAAGCTTCTTAGATACCCAAGGGATGATGTCACCTGCCAAAGACTGGATTGTCAAAATGTTGGGTCCTGATTACAATTCGACTAGGCTTTGTAATCATTTATACATTTAAAATTAATAGACTCTAGTAAATAGAAATATCGAATTCTTAAGCATGCAGGGTCGCTAAACTTGTAGTATGTATAATTTCTGAGAGCAAACAGTACTTTGTATATACCTAGTTTGTACTTTGTATTAAAACACTACGTCAACGTGAATCACTAAATCAACTATAAAACAGAAAATCTTGGGTTTACTAATATGCAATTACCGCCACAGCATATGAATACGATCTAAATCTTAACAACTTACCTTTGTAGTTGTTGAACATGGTTCTGAAAGCTCTTTCAATTCGACATTCATATTTTTCAATTTTTCACAAGGGAAGAACGTCGATTCAAACACGAGGCACAAGGACACGAAGAAAAATCAAAAATAAACATTGCACAAAATCACCCCCAAACCTCCCTAAATGCTAACTGATGTACATAATTCATCCGTGTAACCCAGGGCTTCTCGGTCAAAATGTTTTGGGTTACCTGTAGATATGCCAACTTCTGTCGCCCAAAACTACGACAACTACGACGACGAAAAGGAAAAAAGACCATGGCATTTTAAGACTCCGCTGCGCATACGCAGGCGGAGTAACAAGCGTGATCTTATTCGCCACGAAAGTGAAGTCTGTGAATTCCGAAAGTTGAAGTGTCACTCGTGCGGAGAAATAACGAAAACTTTGGCAGATATGGAGGAAAGAATGGCGAATATCGAGAAGAATAATGGAACAATTGAAACTAAAATAACAAATTTGGAGAAAATTGCGAATAATATCGAGAAAAACACGGCAGATATAAAAGCAGATATGGAAGGAAAACACGAAGCGGTTAACAACGAAGTCACAGGATTGAAAACAGCTTTTCTCAGAGCTTTTGATGAAATGAAGGACGTTCTTATCACGATGGAGGGCAAGAAAGAAGAAAACACAAGAAAAGGAATAAATAGACCAAGTGGTGATAAGGAAAATATAATTGTTGCTGGAGGCTCAGGAACTAGCTCTGTAGAGATGTTTAACTGGCGTCAAAGAACATGGTCGCCATTACAATCAATGCCAGAGGATCGTTATGGAGCGACTTCATTTATTTATAACAATCATATGACTATAGCTGGGGGATGCTGTGGTTGGCCTGTCATTGTTGATGATATGATTAGAATGAATATTGACCCAAACCCTGATCCCTCAACACACTGGAGTGACTGTCCTGTTAAACTACCTGATAAGTTGAGATTCCACAGCAGTGTGCTGTATAATGATCAGTTGATAGTCTCTGGAGGTGATAATGGAAATGGTTCATCTGACTTGATCAGAGCAGTCCAGCTTGTTCCTCCCTATACTGTGAAAACCTTATCAAGAATGCCAGAACCAAGACAAGGTCACAGCATGGAAATATTTGATGATAATTTCTTGATAGTTGGTGGAAGAAAAGCTAACACATACACAGCCAACCTCAGCAGTGTCGTACTGTACGATATAAAGAAGAATGAGCTGAAACAGTTGTCACCACTGCCGTATGAAGTGAGTGATATGGCAACTGTGAGATGGGGAGACAACATTGTTGTTATTGGTGGTGACGACAAACATGGCAAGACATTAGATACAGTTATCATTTACAATGTCAAGACAGAACAAAGTCACATGCTGCCATCAATCAGATGTAAGAGGAGGGGATGTACTGCAGTTGTTATTGAAAACAGCATTGTAGTCCTGGGAGGGAGGGGTGAGGGAGGAAATCTGAAATCAGTTGAATGTTTCAACTTTGAAAGGTATTCTTGGGAAGAACTTCCAGAAATGTCTGAAGCAAGATGGATACACACTGCTGTTGTTGTGTGAACAATATGTAAGGTATTAAGTGAAAACTCCTAACATATTATGAACAATTGAAATGAACTATAAGATTTTCACAAAGTTATAGAAATAGATTGTAGCATTCTAAGTTGATTGTCAGACATATACTGATTTGTATTTTTGTGATTGAATCTAAATTGTGTCAGTTCTTGGAATTATATATAAAAGAACAATAGCAAATCTTTAAAATAGATATTTTCATTGAGGAAGGTTTCAAATGAAACTTCAAACAAAACTGTTCAAACAATAGGTAGGTGCATGACAGCATGAGTGAAAAAAATTTGATTAAATATTGACCATGTTGAATCAGAGTTATTAGTTTCTATTAACTGCAGTTTGGATTAAAAAATTCAACTTTCCTAGAAGGATAAATATTTCTGGGAGGCGACATAAAATGAAAGGGTAAACTTACGATATTTCAGAGCATGTGATGCAGGGAATATTTCTGTGTTAGATTTCAACATATAATGTGCCTGTTCATCTCTACCATGATGTTCCCCACATTTGAAATAAAATTCCTGCGAAAGAACAAGAAGTTTGTGATCGACCTACTTTAGTATTTTACCCTGTCTATTGTCAGATAATTTTACTCATCAGTGGAAAAGTACTGTCAGTTAATAAGTTAACAAAACTATCTGTCAGTGTCTCTTGTTAACCCATTAGCTTGCAATGCACCCAGATGTGGCCCACTATTGTATTTTAGGTCTGATAGGTGAATCACTTACAGCTGTAGTTCCCTGACAGTTTGTACTGTATTCACATTGTCCCTGCATGCGGCCTTTGATCAATACATCATCCCAACCATTTGGACCCTTGCAAGAAACCATAAATATTGTGTTAACAAGATGTTTGTTGACATTCAAAAGCTTTCACAGCAAGCTTGTAAACAAGTTGTAACAATGTCAACATTTTATAAAGTTTAAATATAAATCTGCTGGAGATTTTTTACAAGTTGCTTATAAGGAAACAGTAAATACCTGTGATAGAACGAAGCTTCCTTCCTTGCAATTTGAACATCGACATCGCAATTTTCCTCGTGTTTAGTTTCTTGCAAGTTTTACAATAAACAAAGAAGAAACTTTGCTTGCCTGAGATGAGAGAGTATGAAAAATATGGATTATTAAACGAACCCTGGTGTTAGAAAGAGCAGGGTTTTGTATTGATGGAGTATAATATAAGATTAGGAGGGTAAGATATATTAAAAGACATGTAGGGAAGGGTCAAGGGTGTATGGAAGGGGGGACTATATATGAGGTTAAATTGATAGAGGGTCTATTGGAGAAGAGGTATAAAGGGAAGGCTATATTAGGAAGGGGGGATGGGGGAGGGGTTATTTTACAGAGTTATTTAGAGAGAGGATATTAGGTAGAGAAGAGGTGTACGTATTACAGTCATAAGCAACATTCTACTAGGGAGGGGTATAAACGGGGAGTTACTTTTGAGTATTATTTAGAGACTGGAGTATTAGAGAACTATATATTAGAGAGAGGTATACTCATAGGGAGGGGTACAGGAGAGGAGTTGTTCGACTGTCAACTGGAGAGGGATATTAGAGAATAGGTATGAAGGCACATTAATTGGGAGGGGCATGTAGAGGGAGTTGTTATAGGAGGTTAATCAGAGAGAGGGTTATTCTGTAAGAGAGAAATCCTACAAGGGAGGGGTATGTGGAAGGAATTGTTATAGATGGAGAGTTAGTTGAAGAGAGGGTAGGAGAGAGATACAGAAGGGTTCATTTAGAGTCAGACAATTAAGAGAGGGGTTTTTAAAGAAGATTGAGGTGTATTTGTGAGGGATATACTACGGAAAGGTATAAAGAAATGGTAATCACAGTGGGGATGGGTTGGAGGTATTTATTGAGGGTGTGTATTAAACCAGGAAGAACACTAAAAAGAGAGTGGTCACATCATTGAGAGGTTTATGAAAGATCTCGTCACCACCTGATTGTTGAGATTCACCATCTTCATCATCCTGTGTCAGTTTCACTTTCGTCAAACCATCATTCGCATTGTAAGTTGCATCAACTGAGATCTGACCAGATTTCTGAACAGCATGAATGACGCTGTGGTTCATCTCTGCATTCTATAAAAAACGTTTCAGATCTCTGAATGTCAGACTCATTGTCGACTGATGGCAATTCAAAGACTGAGATTTCTGAGAATCATCTGAAAAATCCTGGAAACTGTCCATGAGTGAGAATTCACATAAGTTTGGGTCAGGTTTTAGTGGAGAAAGATGGCTTTGAAAAATGTCTTAAAAGATCATTTTATCAAGATTCAGACACTGTGATATTCTGAGATGGACTGACTCAAGCAAGACAAGCTGTATCATAATCTATCTCAGATTTACTATAACGAAGATGGTCGCTTTAAACATCAAAATCCCAAACTAAAAAAAACCTCATTTATGAAATCATTTAAACATTTCACAGTAAAGCTTTCGTTATTTCTTTGAAAATTGTTATATAAATCACATTAAAAGCTTGATATTTTCCTAAAAATCACTCACCCCGAGTGTTAATTCATCGGGTAATTCTCGACCGGCAAAAATGATTTTAATTCCAGCAGTTTTGACATTTTTCTTGCGAGCAATTTCGTGTTTTAGTCGAGCGATTGTCCAGGATGGTTGAAAACGAAGGTTAAATGATTTGCCGTTGAAGTTTACGGTCACGTCGTGCGACATATTTCGCTAGAAAAGCTCGTGTATTTCCTTGCAATTGAGAGAAAATAATTCAAAATATTTTGCTTCAAAACGAAAGTTTGGAAAAGAAATGTTTGAAAATTGAAAGTTTAAAACGACGGTTGCTTCCACTTACCAAAACAAACTTCCTCTTTTTTCCTTGAAATTTCACCCCCAGGAAGTTTTCTGATCTCTTGGAACACTGGAGTGTTTAACGTTTTCTATGTTGGCAATCAATATAATTCCAGAGATTAGGTTAGGATTAGTGTTAAATTTTGGATTAGGTTTAACCCTATTTAACAATAAACTTAAAACCTAATCTTAACCTAAATCTTAACATAAACTCAACTAATAAATAAGTCTGACGGATAGTTTTTTAACTCATTAACAGCCAAAACAAACTTCCTCTTTGCCTTGAAATTTCACTCCCTGCCAGTTTTCTGATATCACGATACACTGGAATGTTTAGCGTTTTCTATGTTGGCAGTATTATTCCATTTAATCCTTAAGATTAGGTTAGGATTAGGGTTAAATTTAGGATTAGGTTTAACCGTATTAAACTATAAACCTAAAACATAATCTTAACCCAATTCCTAACATAATTACAAAGATTAAATTCCTGTATTTAGGATTTAGTGAACATGGAGTTTTATATTAAAAACTATCGCAGCATCGTCAGCACTTTTGAAAGTGTAAATTCGCATTTTAATAGAACAAGTTAAAGCTTTTAGAGTCGACATAAATTACTGCAAAATAACATTTCTCTAAAATCTACTGAAAATATCAGAAAAATGTTTAATCGCCTCCAGCTCTCTCTCCGTCTGCAGGTAACATTTTCAAATTCATTTCTGGAAACACCGCAGCAAATTCCACGAATTCCTGACTCCAAACAGGAAAGGACGCGTCTTATGCAAATTATAAGGAAGAGATATTTGTCTTCATAAACTAATCATTTTGGAGAAGATTTCGAGAAAATACAAACACAGACTTCTCCAAGAACGAACACTGTATCTATATTCAGTCTATACAGCGAGGTTTATACTACAGAGTGACAAACAACACAGAACTTGCTTTATTATTACGACACAAGAACGACGTGAAATATGGCTTCATATATACAAGGCTACGATGAAGAAAGGTTTGTGGACAAAATTAATCAAAATTTTCATTGCCAGATTTGCTTCAACGTCTTGAAAGAGCCGGTTGTGTGTTCGAGAAACCAGCATTCTTTTTGCCGTTGTTGTATTACGAAACATCTGGAAAATTCTCAAACATGTCCTACGTGTGCTGATGAACTGACCGTAGAGACTTTGATCGAACCACCGCGAATGGTAAAAGATTTTTTGAATGAATCGAAAATTCGTTGCGTTTACATCAACAGAGGTTGTCAAGAAGTTGTAGAATTACAGCATCTTGACCGCCATGAAGATACATGTGGATATACACCAGCCGTTTGTACAAACCAAGGCTGTGGTTTAATTGTCAACAAGCGTGATCTTATTCACCATGAAAGTGAAGTCTGTGAATTCCGAAAGTTGAAGTGTCACTCGTGCGGAGAAATAACCAAAACTTCGGCAGATATGGAGGAAAGAATCGCGAAGAATAATGTAACAATTGAAACTAAAATAACAAATTTAGAAAAAAATATGGCGAAAAATACCACAGTCGCAGTCGCAGATTTAAAAGCAGATATGGAAGGAAAACACGAAGCGGTTAACAGCGAAGTGAAAGGATTGAAAACAGCTTTGGTCAGAGCTTTTGATGAAATGAAGGACGTTCTTATCACGATGGAGGGCAAGAAAGTAGAAAACACAAGAAAAGGAATAAATAGACCAAGTGGTGATCAGGAAAATATAATTGTTGCTGGAGGTTTATTGACTAAATTTGTAGAGATGTTTAACTGGCATCAAAGAACATGGTCGCCATTACAATCAATGCCAAAGGATCGTTGGGCAGCAACTTCATTTATTTATAACCATCATATGACTATAGCTGGGGGTTACTGTGGTGTTTGGTCTGTCATTGTTGATGATATGATTAGAATGAATATTGACCCAAACCCTGATCTCTCAACACACTGGAGTGACTGTCCTGTTAATCTACCTGATAAGTTGTCATTCCACAGCAGTGTGCTGTATAATGATCAGTTGATAGTCTCTGGAGGTGAAAAGAGAAATGGTTCATCTGACTTGATCGGATCAGTCAATCTTGTTCCTCCCTATACTGTGAAGACCTTATCAAGAATGCCAGAACCAAGACAAGATCACAGCATAGAAATATTTGATGATAATTTGTTGATAGTTGGTGGAAGTACAACTGGCCGTTACAAAGACAGCCTCAGCAGTGTCATACTGTACGATATAAAGAAGAATGAGCTGAAACAGTTGTCACCACTGCCATATGAAGTGAGTCGCATGGCAACTGTGAGATGGGGAAACAACATTGTTGTTATTGGTGGTGTTGACAAACATGGCAATACATTAGATACAGTTATCATTTACAATGTCAAGACAGAACAAAGTCACATGCTGCCATCGATGAGATGTAAGAGGAAGGGATGTTCTGCAGTTGTTATTGATTACAACATTGTAGTCCTGGGAGGGAAGGGTGAGGAAGGAATGCTGAAGTCAGTCGAAGGTTTCAACTTTGAAAGGTATTCTTGGGAAGAACTTCCAGAAATGTCTGAAGCAAGATTGCACCACACTGCTGTTGTTGTGTGAATAATATGTAAAGTATTAAGTGAAAATTAAGTCCTAACGTATTATGAACAATTGAAATGAACTATATAAGATTTTCACAAAGTTATAGAAATAGATTGTAGCATTCTAAGTTGATTGTCAGACATATACTGATTTGTATTTTTGTGATTAAATTTAAATTGTGTCAGTTCTTAGGATTATATATTAAAGAGCAATAGCAAATCTTTCAAATTGATATTTTCATTGATGAAGGTTTAAAATGAAACACCAAATAAAACATTTGAAATAATATTTTCTGCACCCCCTTCACCTAGGTTTTTCACCCCCACCCCCCTCCCTCCTAGGTTTTTTCACCCCCTCCCTCCCACAGGTTTTTTCACACCCCTCCAACCAGCTAGGTTTTTTCAGCCACAACCCCACCCCTCCCACCTAGGTTTTTCAGCCACAACCCACTCCTCCCCACCTGGGTTCTTCTCCCCTGGTGCCCCAGACCAAGAATCCTAACTGAGCCTCTGCCTCAAGAAATAGCTCAGTTACCTATTTTAAATATCAGCCTGTCTGTAAATGATGTCTGTGTCTGTCAGACTGCCACAAACCAAGTCATATTTTAAAATTTAACGATTAACAAGATTTGGAGAGATAGTTTTACTCTTTATTAAAACAAAACCCTGATTAACTAATATAAATTGGTTTGTAAACTAAAATAAAATTCTTGTTTCAAGTTTGCTCACAGGTTGTTTTGTAATTTCACGTTTTCCATCGCGTCCTTGAAGGCTTTTAGTACAAGATTTACATTATCTTTTGTGCTGTTCAACCCCATCAGACCAACACGCCATATTTGAAAAATTTCACGACAAAAAGTAAGGTTTTTCAGAGGGAAAAAATTTACGATTATGGAGGGAATATCTGCGAATATGAAGAAGAAAATTGTGAATATGGATACCTTTCCAGCAGATCTTCCAACACCACCTGAAATATCCATTTTATATCTGAAAAAGAAATTGATTATTCAATTTTAACACTTTCCCTCTTTATTGGACCTCCATGAATCACCCCCTGCAAGTATTAAAAACGGCAAGGTTAACAGGGGGGACTTATTCTATGATTCATCACTCAGCAAGTACCTTTAATAAAAGGAACTACCCCCCTGCCCATATTAAAATAGGGCAGTTGGCAGGGGGGTGATTGCCTTCATTTACAGTACTTGCTGAGTGATGGAACCACTTATACAAAAAACTATGGAGTCGTTCTTCTGATAAGTATTCTGTGCCTACACTTTCTTTTATTTTTATTGTATTTTTATCTTTACTTGAAAGCACGACATGAAATTACCATGTAGACCTAACCCGGGGGGTGACGGGAGTCAATGACCAAATTCATTACTCATTTTGTTTCGAGAAATGCATTATAGTTTAAAATTTAGTTTAGCCGAATTTATATTAGAGGCGGGAAACTCGTCTTACAAGGTAAAAAAAACCCAGGAAACTCGTCTTACAGGGGAAACTCCTCTTGGAAACTCATCTTAGACGGGAAACTCGTCTGATGTGAATCAGGCCACAGACGGGTTTCTCGTCAGAATCTTCCCGCCTAACTTTCCCGTCTAAACAAACGGTTAATTTGAACGGGAATCCCTTCTGGACGAGAAACCCGTCTTAAATTCGCATTTAGACGATAAATCAGACGAGTTTCTGAAATATCAACACGGTCAAGGACGGAACAAGGGTAAAGCCCGCCGCACAAGAGAGCTATCAGCTGAGCTAACGACCTCGCGAGGCAGTTAACTCAGCCTGAAAACTATCCGCACACGATAGAAACTTGCCTCTCGAGGCGAATTCCTCACGAAAAACTATCCGCACACGCGAGTAACTTGTTGAGCTAACAGCCTCGCGAGGTCTTTACCTCAGCTACCAGCTCTCGTGTGAGGCGCGCTTAACTGAGAAAATAAACAAAATTATTATCGTAATAATCACGATATCCTTTTTAGCATTACCCGACCCATCACACGTGTAAATTTTACATCCATTCCAAGTCATATTAAGACGGGTTTTTACAATCAACTTTCCTGTCTAACATGAATTTCCCGTGCCTAATATGAATTTGGTTATTAATGTGAGAGAGATGATACCTTCGGCTTCTCCGCTTCCTTGAATATACAATCCATTGTTATATGGTTTGTTGTTGTTTGAATAAGAACGTGATTTTCGTCAGATCTTCGCAGCAAATTGTGTCATGACAGAACTATCTGGTTTGCAAATTATGTCGACAGCATTGTGTGTACGAGAACCTTTGTATAATGATAAATTCACGTTAATTTAATTGTTTTGTAAGATTATAAGAATATTATCGATTCGCTGTGTTGTTACAAGGTTACATCTGGTCTTACCTTGGTGTTCCGAAATCACCA